TTTTATCACAGTGTTTTTGTAGTATAGTTTCAAATTGGGAATTGTTACACCTGGTGCCATGTGACTGTTGCCTATAATGGCTTTTGCTATTCTAGGTCTCTTGTGGTTCCAAATGAATTTTTGGATTCTTTTTTCTAGTTCTGTGATATAGTGTTGTCCTTATTTCTCTTTCTGTCTGTCTGTTATTTGTGTATAGAAAGGCTATTGATTTTTGGGTATTCACCTTGTATCCAGATACTTTACTGAATCTGTCAATTAAGTCTAGAAGTTTTTTGGTGGAGTTTTTTGGATCTTCAATGTAGAGTATCATATCATCAGCAAATAATGATAGTTTAACTTCTTCCTTTCCTATCTTTATTGCTTTAATTTCTTTCTCTTGTCTAATTGCTGGGGCTAATGTTTCCAGAACTATATTGAAGAGAAGTGGCGATAGTGGGTCCTTGTCATTTTTTTAAATGTTAGAGTTTTCAAAATCAAATGTTCTTTCTTTGCTGTGTTTTTGTGTTAACCTGGCTGTCTCAAGAGATATAGACATTTTCTTCTTGTCTAATTGCTGTGGCTAATGTTTCCAGAACTATATTGAAGAGAAGTGGCGATAGTGGGTCCTTGTCATTTTTTTAAATGTTAGAGTTTTCAAAATCAAATGTTCTTTCTTTGCTGTGTTTTTGTGTTAACCTGGCTGTCTCATTAGAGATGTAGACATTTTCTAGTAAAATTAATGTGACATTTGGAGAAAATTTTCTCTCAAGTGTTTCAAGTTATTTGCCAATTAGAATACTTAGAAATGGGATTGGAATAATGTCAAAACAAATTTTGATTAAATAAGGCTAACCAGGAGGCATACGTTCATGAAAAAAAAAAAAAGAAAGAAGATCTATTGGCTTATTTCTCAAAAAGGGCTTTCTGTCTGTGGTTCTTTATCCTATATGGAAATTATCATGGATAATTACCTGATAGGAAAGCGCCCACCATCGAAATAACTGGGTTTGACTTAAAAAACAGGACATCAGATCACAACCCAATCCCTTGTCCACAGCAGTTGTTCTCTGACCATACATTAGAATTACCTGGGGAATTAAAAAAAATACTACCAGTGCTTTTGCCCAACTGCAAGCTATTTATTATACCTTAGAATCTCTTCGAGAGGATCCTTAGTGACGATATATTTTTTTAAGTTCCTGAGAAGATTCTTATGTGCACTTAGGGCTGAGAACCACTGAATAAAGATATGAAAATTATTAATTAAAACAAGTTTCCTTTTTCAAGATGATCTGACTCTCATTTTTGCTCTACCAGATGTGAGGAAAAATTCAGTCCTTCAGTGCATAAAATTTTGATTTGAGCACACACCTGAAATCAGATGAACTAGAATACACAATGTCAGTAAATATAGACCCATGATATAATAGGCTATCTATGGCCAGATAACTCAGGTTTTGAAATGGAGTACTCATGGGGCCAGAAGAGTATATTCTGATCACTTAGAGTGATTCCATTGCATATATTGTTCCCATAACTGTAACCAAGATGCATCATAACAAGACCTGAGGCAGACTGTAAAGATAACAAAGGCAGTGTGTAAATTAGTGTAATTTGATTCACTCTGGGAAAGTTGGTTCTAGGAAATTACATCACAGACTATGGCTACTACTAATTGCATTAGGATGATGCACAGGCCATGGGCCCATTACGGTTTGTGCTGATTTGAGGAATAGGATATTTATACTTGAAGGACAGGACTCATAAGAGTGGGCATTTTTTAGAGTAAATAAAGAGAAAGCCAGGAAGATGATAAATTTCCATAACACTCTCCTCCCTATAGTAGTAGATCATGCCTGGTGCATCTGCCCAGGGTTATCCAGTTTGTGTTCTAGAGAGTCAGGGAAAATTATTACAGTCACTCTAAACAAGCCCTGTGAACTGCGTCTTTTCTTAATTCATTGTTGAGAGCAAGAATTCTCTTGGAGAGATACATTATTTCATAAGAACCAAGAAGAATTATAGTCATTAGATAATATTTGCATGATTCTCCTTTTTTGCCCAAGCATGTGGCACTGGTATCATGCCCAGAGGCCAGGTATTCATAATTCAAACAAGTTATATGCTTCATATGCAAAGCTATGCAAAATTTTCTATTTGAAAACTGGCTTTTTAAAACATGACAGTATCTTGGTTCTTATTTTTTCCCATTCCCCTAGCCTCCCTTCACCCCTCCACCCTTCCCTATTTACAAAGACTTTGTTTCCATCTTTTTCCTTTTCTCTTGTTTTTTCTCTTCCCTTTTAACCTTTGCAAAGCTAATATTCTCTAGACCTGTTGTGGAGGGTGGGCATCAATATGTCTGTCTACCACTTTCTTGCAAAAATGATTTAGTAAGTTTGGAAGATGAGATGGAACATGCATATGCTATTGTTTTATTGGCTGAATGAGGTTAAATTCCTGATCCTGATTGGGGTTTCAGGTTCTGTAGAAAGCCATGGTTAAGGATTTCTACTATGAATCATGATAAATGTAGTCGAAATTCTCCTTTGGATTTACATTCTATTATCTATATTTCAGAGAGAAGCAAATTGAGGCACACGGGAAGTAAATAATTTACCCAAGGTTGCCTAAGTCAATTGCTGAGGACTAGTAAATTCCCTGTTTTAACAAGAGTGATTTTCAGGGAGTGAGCGACTTCCATTTTTTTTTTTTTTTTTTTTTTTTTTTTTTTTTTTGCGCGG